TTTCTTTCACACCCAATAGTTCCTTAGAAGAATAGCTTCGAAAAAAGCCCCCCTGTCGTCAACTACAAAACTCTCATTATGATTTAATCGACCGACTAATACCCCCTAATGTCCCCTTTTACTTGGACATTATCTGTATGCAATTAATCGCCCAAAAAGTGCTAACATGCCTAAATATCACTACCTTACCTGGCATGGAACCAATCTTATTATTTGATTATTAAGCTGTCTTTTTATCCATTCCATCATCATCTTTATCTTTCGGTTTAAAAAACCATTTTCGAGACCAAGTTGAAGCCAGAGCACTTGGATGATCAGTAAAAAGGTTGGGATTCTTCCAATTATTCCACAGATTGCTGGCCCTCTCAACACACTTTCTTGACCCAAAAGGGGCCGACTTTCGGATCGATGCTGGTCAATGGGTCAACCTAATATATGCCATACGACTCCACTCTTTGCAGGGTTTAGGATCATGTTGCTGTCGTTCCTCTCAACAATCATATCAAGAATGAGTGTCACATATGGTACAATGCAAAGGCCATGTAGGCCTTTGTTGGTATTGTGTTGCTCAAATGGGTGAGGATGGTGAAGGACTCGCGATGAGATTGTGTTATTTTGAATTTTCGGTGACGAATGTACGACGTTTTCCTCGCCTTTTGTACGAGATCAACCGATTATGTGTTGCATTGAATTTGTGCGAGTATATGATTGTTGCATTGAATTTGTGCGAGTATATGATTGTATGGTATTTATCAAATTGTGGATGGATTATGCGATACTACTGGTCATTGATCACCGTACGATTTGTGATTATTGGATGTTTTGAAATGATGTGGTTCCTTGTTTTACAGATGAATGAGCGCATATAGATAAAGATGGCCCACTTGAAGATTTGGTCATGTATGAGTTGTGATTCGAACCATGGTGGCCAGGAAGAGAGTAAGCCTTGGGCACTAAATTAAAAAAAAAAAATCAAACAAGTAATTATTTATGTCATGGGTCATTGTATTTTGTGAGTCTATCATTTGAGTCCTTCACATAGTTTGATTTGTTAGTTGCAACAACGTTAAAAATAGAAAGATTTGTTAGAAGTGGCTAGTTCCCCTGGGTTAGGTTTATGTGGGTTGTTGTTGTTCAAAGCCCAGACTAATCGCTGGAAGAATGTATTTAGAGATTTTGAGTCGCGGTAGAATTGTCAGTTTGCTTTCAATTTGAGTTTTCATAAGAAATCAGGATTAATATTAAACTCGTCCATCTTGTTGTTGTCGAAGAAGTCCTTTTTTCTAAAGAAATCATGTGATTTCAGTGAATTTGTACATTTTTTTCACTTTGAACACTTCAAGATCAATTTTATCCACTCCTCCCATGATTTACCTTCTCTAAATCGAAAATCTCTTTGTTAAAGCACAATTGCCACTTGCCACCTGATTCGTGCTCAAATGCACACATTTTACCCCTCATTTCTTATTCGTTTAGCTTAGTATTTCATCGTTCCTTGACATATTTCACGCTAGGTTGTGCGTGTCTGGATACATTTCAGGTCCTAGCACGTGCGGAAGGGTCGAGGACGAGTTTTGGGATATTCGGAGGTCAAAAGGCGAAAAAACCGAAGAAAAGTTTGAACTGTGACAATTGCCTCGTAACAGTGAAGTGAAGGCGTCCCAGGAAACAACCGCAGTTCACGGCCGGACGAGGCAGTTCACGGTCTCCTAAGACCGTGAACTTCGACCACAAACCGTGAACACCGAGGCATCCAGCGAGGTTCCTGAAGTTACAGACGACAAGGCAGTTCACGGAGAACTGTGGGCATTGACCGTGAACCCAGGGCAGTGAAGCGGTGAGTTTTGGACGACACTGAGTTCACAGATGCGTTTTGGTGTTCACGTCCGTGAATTGGCCACTTTCGGGCAAATATGAAGACAGCAGCGGGGAGAGAGAAAGGAGAGCTGATTTTTTTGGAGAAGAAACACTTTCTTTCTCTAGGGTTTAAACCTAAAACACCAAAGGGAGTTCTAGTGAGAGAGAGAGAGAGAGAGAGAGAGAGTGAGTGAGAGTGAGAGTGCTAGAGTGATCTTGGAGCATCATTGGAGGCTTGGGTGGAAGATTCAAGCCTAGAAGAAGAAGAATAAGATCTTGAGCTCAAATTTGTAATCCCTCTCTCTCTCTGTCTCTCTATAGAAACTCACTCTTTTCTCTTGGGTGTTGTAGATCCCTAACTAATACTTTTTAGTTACTTGTTTAGATTGAATGATTAAGTGTGGGTTTGCATCAATTTGAGTATTGAGGTGTTTTCACGGTGATTGTGCATGCTCGTGCTTAGCAATCTAAGGGTTGTTCATGTTTTGTGCTTAGCATCCTTAGGTTTGTGCATTTTGGTGCTTAGCAACCTAAAGATTGTGCATGTTGGTGCTAGCAACCTAATTAGACACCTTAACCTAGCTTAAAGAGGAAAATCCCCCTTCCACGAGATACTCAATCGAGTTGGTTTTCCTTCAGCTTTTTAAGCCACCTAACTAGGTTAATTTAGGGAAACCCTCAATGTTGAATTAAGCAAATCGGTTAATTGCGATTAAACCGTCCGACCTTTGAGTTGAGTGAGGGAGTAAGTCAACTACCGATTGCCTAAACCGAGAGGGTCGAGTGACACGGCCTATAATGTTTGCCAAGATATAGCAATCGAGATTGTGGTCTACGACCATATTTGCATCCATCTGCGGTTCGTGGTTACCAGTTTGCATCTAGGTTGGCTTTGATTGAGCCGCTCAAACTCCGGTTTGAGGGAAAGACCTAGCAACCACTAGTGACTGAGTGAGACGATCGATCCCGTGACAAATCGACCTCCAGTGAATCCATCCTGTGACAAATGGATCACTAGTTGCTCCTCCTAGCGGTTCCCCTAGATCTGGTGAGTGGATCGATCCCATGACAAATCGATCGCTAGTGATTTGATTCCGTGACAAATCGATCACTAGTTGCTCACCCCCGCTGTTCACAACCATCTATGCCACACGACTCCATTCAATCCAACGAGCCATGGTAGCTAGTTAGGGGGAAGCAACTCCTGGGGGAAGCTCCCTTAATTAGGATTTTCCTTCATTTACTTTTCCTTACTAATTTAGTTTGTAGTTTTCATAGTTTTAAACCCAAAACCGTTTTGCTAGATAACAACTTAAGCGATTGAAGTAGGGGTACATGGATTGGCCCGTGTTGACAATTTAAATACTTGCTCTATATTGCATCCGGTTAGAGTTTAAAAACTTGGGCTCTAGTCGGGATTAATTTTTGGTGTAGTTTCGTGCGAGTCACCACCACCGTTAGATTTAGCCGCAACTCGCAATTCCTTAAACAATGGTCTTGGAGTTAAATAAGATCACAAAAACACTCCCCTTATTCACAAAAATAAGAGGTTATAATTATAATTATAATAAGTACTTATTTTTTCTTCCATAGATTATAATTAGCTTGTACCCTGACCCGTTGGCCGGTTGCAATACGATAATATTATTTAACAAATTTTCAAACTTTAAATTTTAGTAATCTCCTCTTCTCTTATATTCTTGCCATGATTACATGTCAATGTAATGCAAATTAAAAAAAACAATGGTATCAATTTTACAAAATAGATAGCAAGTTAGTTTTCTAGATTTTACCTTTAAGAAATTCAAAATATTTGTTTTTAGGTAATGGTGATATATAGTATTATTATAAAAAAATCAAAATATTCCATTGTTGAAAATGAGCATCCATGGTAAAGTTTATTAACCTTTTCCTTTTATGCTGTTCTTGTTGAAATTCAAAATGTTGGACTCATGCAAGGGAATATCAACTCATATTAAACTTAAGGGTATGTACTAATTATTAGCCAAATATCTTTCATAATTTTAAAAATTATTCAAACTTTTCAAAATACAAAATATTATTCAAATAATAACTTTCAGTTAGTAATATTGATTTGACAACATGATACTGACTTGGAAGAGACACACAGAGGTCAACATTCCAAAAATTTAGTATTTAAACTAAGAAAAGAGTTATAAAAATAATAAAGATAATAGAAAAATGGCAAATAATTTGAAGCATTATAAAATATTTGACTATTATTTTTTATTTCGAAAGATTTGGCTAATATTTAAAAATGTGGAAAGGTCTGGCTAATAATTAGTATTTACTTTAAAATTAATGACATAATATTTTAGGTATTCCAAAATAACTGGTATCACCTTTTTATCATCAACCATATTCATTATTAAGTCCACTAACGTTATCAAATAATAAACGTCTTTTATTTTTACATTTTTTGCGAAGCAATTCAGACACAAATCATAATCATATATTGAAATGCAATTTTCATAATTTTGGTGACATATGTTGTTGGAGGATAATTTTTTCATGATTGATTATCTTCAATACTTTGAACCCAGTTGGAATTCGTGATGTTGCAATCACTAAACCTGGACTCCAGGAGAAGAAAAAACAAAAAAGCCCAACTGATATGCCCATAATGCATGGTTGTCACGCCAGTGAAATGACACTATCGATATAGTCGGCTTGATCAATTTACAATATTTACGCAAAAACGCAAAACCTACTATGAGCTATTACGCAAAAAACGCAACTCACAAATCCCATTTCATAGTTTGGAAGGGAAAAAAAAACTGAATTGATTTCTACAATTTTTTTTTTGCTAAATTAAGTTCTACAAATTTAGTGGATTGCGGGAGGAAAAATAAAAAAATGAAATTCCAAGTGAAATGTTGTATGCCCATAGTAGCTCATGTGCCGAAAATTGGGAGAGGAAAAGACTTAGAAGTCCTTTCTTGCTTTGCGGAGAAGGCTGGAAAACGAGATGAAGTAGGTCCTGAGGAGGAGGAGGATAATAAAAATAAGACAAAATTCACTTCCATAGCCATAACTTTGCACTTTGTGACAAATATAGCCAGATTCTGAGAAATACACAAATATAGCCACATTTTATAAACTTACTTGACAAATATAGCCATTTCGGTTAAATAATTTGACGACGTTAATAATTCCGTCAGTTAAATGGATGTCATTCTGATGAGGCTGCCACGTCATGGCCACGTCATTCCCACATAGACCCCCACTGCCACATAATCGCCACATCACATTTTCAAATAAAAAAACATAAATACACTTTTGTGGATCGTATTTTTCTTCCTCTTCACAAATTTTTAATTAAAAATTTCCTTTGTTCTTCGCCGGTTCCATGGTTGGGTATTGGCAGGAGAACAACCACCGGCACCTACTGGCTGTTGATGGGTTCATCTTCAATCGCCGTCATCTTTGATTCATTACCGCTCTCAATCCCACGATTCATCATCACCAAATGAGAAGAAAGTGTTGCAATTGCATATGGTGCTGGTGGTGAATGTTTCTCAAATCGAGGAGATGGGAACAACAATTTCGCCGCCGCATCGCCTACGTTACTCCACCAACCAACGTTCAACCCTTTCTTGCAGATCTGACATCACCGGCGTCGCCGACTCATCCTTCTTGCCGATGGTGTTGTTGCAAGATTTATCTCAGCGTCGGGAGGGAGTTTCAGTTCCGCCGCCGCTACCGCCGATGTGGAATCTTCCCAAACCGACAACACCCAGCCACTACCTCGTCACCGTACCCACAAGTACAGCTGACACCGACGACGCTTTGTCTCCTCCGGCTGCTTCAACTTTCCAGATCTCGCGAATTCAGAGCCCGGAGCTCTGTCCCTTCAATGGCGATTCCCAGAAATCGGAGGAGCAATCCGCTCGTTCTCTCCCTCATCAGATCCCAGTTGATAAATTAGGTCAGCAAAGATGAGGGTCGTTCTCCCCCTTGCTCGATGTCGCCTTCTTCCTCTACTTCTCTGCTTCAACGACGATGGCGTGAGTTTGGTGATTGGGAATCATCTAGATCTGAAGGTTAGTTTCTGTGGTGGGGCTTGAGGGAGGAGTGTGAGGAGGCGGAGGGCGGCTTTGGCGGCGGTGACAAATACGGCGGAGGAGGAGAGGAAGCTTTTGGAGATCGAGATTTTTGGCAGATTGAAGGTTTGTGCGGTGGTAGATGAATGGGGTTTGGGGGGAGTTGGAGGAAAGATGAAAAAGGGGCGGAGAGATGAAAAAAAATTCTTTTTCTTTTTCATCTTTTTATTTAGCATAATAAATATAAATAATTTTATTTTCCACTATGGCATGCCACATAGTCCAAATTAAACGCAATTAAATACGACAGTTTGTCCAGTCAGCAATCGTTATATTTCCGTTACATTAATGGACGGAATGGCTATTTCTGTGTATTTCTCAGAATCTGGCTATATTTGTCACAAAGTGCAAAGTTATGGCTATGGAAGTGAATTTTGCCTAAAAATAAACACCTCGGAATAGCTGGGATATGAACGAAAAATATCAAATTCAGGCCCAACCCAGTAGAGTAGTCGAGTTTCGATACTGGACTTCGGCCCATTCTCACCAAGCAAACTGCTCGCATTTGCATAAATAATCTGACGCGACCGGGTCCGGCCCGATTCGAGTTACCGCCCCGTTCCCGTGCCCTCTCCTTCAATTCCAAGCGCCTCCCCAGCTTATAATCTTTCCCGGCTCACCCTTTTCTAGGGTTTCGATCATCTTTCTCCCGTCCCCGCGTCGTAAAGGTACCGTTCCCCGTTTCCCGCTATACTCTGTCGATTGTTTCGTTGCTATGAGAACGTTTTGAGCAATCCGCCTAGTATTCGAATCTTGCGATTCGATTTTCATCATTAGTCCTTGTATTCCTGGTTGCCGAATGTTTCACTTCATTGTAGCGCGTCTCATCCATTAGGAACTTTCATTAGTCTGTTTGCTTTGCGGATTGATGTCTTTCTGTGGAATGGTGCCTTCTTTGATAGCGTTTGATCTTTCGAAGCTGTTAAATTTTATCAATTTGATTCTAGCTGTTATATACCTTTGTTGCAGCCTTTTTAGAGGGTTATCTTTGTTTCTAGCTTCATAAAAGCTATATACATTTCTGCTTCTGTTAATTGTGGCTGTTTTTTTTTGTGTCGAATCTACTCCTCTCTAGTTTTGGATTCATCTTGCTTATTGTCGAATTTCATTTCTTAATTTGTTCTGTTTTTGGCTGCTAATTCAGTGACTTTGGAATGAAGAAGAAGAAGCAACAGATTGATGTCGAGGGTACTGAACCCGAGATCGATCTTAAGTCCCTAATTCACCAGCATTCTCAATTCTTCGACAAGTTGATCGAGCTAATCCCGGCCAAGTTCTACTTGTCTAAGGATGAAGATAAGCCATGGTTTCAAGGGCTAAGTAAGGCTAAAAGGGATGAAGCCAAGAAGGAATCGAGGGAAAACATCAAGAAGGCTAGGAGAGATCGGTTAGACCCCGACAAGGCTAATGTAACCACCCTTGATTTGCTCAAGCAAAATTTGGAGAAGGAGAAACAGAAGGAAGAAAGTGATGATGAGGAGGAGGAGGAGGAGGAGGAAGAAGAAGAAGATGATGAGGAAGAAGTGGAGATCAACCCTGTGATATCTGGTTTGAAAAATGATACTAGGTCAGCAACGTATGAGGATCTCCGTGAACGTTATGTGAGGAAGCTGAAAGAGCTCAGAGGCGAGCGGGAGGCTGATCCCAATTCAAGAAGACAGCAAAAAAGGGAGGAAAGACAGGAATATAGGAGTAAACGCAAGAGAGAGCATGGCTCTGGAGGGAAGAAAGCTGTAGCAACCAAGATTGATATAGCAAAAAATGTTGAGAAGGAAGCCGAAGAAGCTACAAAGGAGCTGAGATTCAGTCACGTGAAGATAGGGGATGACGACGATCACAGGATGAAGAAGAAGAGGAAGCTCTCGAAGCAGCGAGAGCTCGAGAAGGCGAAAGAGCACCAGGAGGCAAAGGCAGACCCCGAGAAAGGCACGAAGGAATTTTGGAGAGCAGCTACAAGCAAAGCAGCAGGGGTAAAGGTCCACGACGATCCCAAACTGTTGAAGCAGAGCATAAAGAAGGAGAAGAAGAGGCAGCAAAAGAACGCGGAGAAGTGGAAGGAGAGGGTAGAGAGCCAGCACAAAGTGAAAGCAGGGAAGCAGGAGAAGCGATCGCAGAACATAGCAGGGAGGATTCAGGAGAAGAAGATGAGGAAGATCGCCAAGCGCGAGAAGAAGCTAATGCGGCCTGGGTTTGAAGGCCGCAAGGAAGGTTACATCAATGAAACCACTTCAACTTAGACGGGGTTACTCTGAAGGTAGGTTCTTTTTAGCACTTTCGAAGCTCAATCTGTTTCAGTTTTTCGCCCTCTCCTTTTCATGTGTTGTTTCTGGGTAGAATGGGAGTATGTGATGCAGGAGTTATTTTGCTGTAGGGATAGTTTACAAAAGAAAAGGAATATGTTGTACCCTCTGATCTCTGCTTCATATGTTGGTTGTCCAATTTGTTGTTCGTCCTTTAGCTGGAGAAGTAATTGCCCATTTGCCCTGATGGACCGTTGCTGCATTGATGTTGTTGGACTGTTCATTCGAGGAATTTAAGGTTTTGCATGTTGGTTCCTGGCAGTATTGCGTCATCCGTCCCAGTTCATCCCTCTAGTCATTCATCCACAAGTTCTCCTCAAGGGTGGGAGGCAATTGCCATACTGTCCTAATCAACCAAATTAGAAATTCGTGGCTATAGGCTGTGGAAGTTGCTAATTACTTCCTTTGATTAGGGCTGAAAATGGCTGATTTTATGAGTCACTTATAAGATGTCTTAGGACCAAAGATTGAACGTCTTTGATCTTGATTTAGTCCAAGTCTGGTTCAATATAGCTTGTTTTATGTCCAAGTGTTCATTTGTTCCATTGGTATTTTGTATACAGTTGCAAACCCCTTGGGACTTAGATGTATGTAAATGTAATTAGCCTCTAGACTCTAGAGTAACAATTTTGTAATTAATCCATACAAAAGGGGATATTTGGACGGTAAATGGACATACAACCAACTTCTAACTCGACGAACTTTTAACTTGAAAATTCCAGGTTCGATTCGAAGGTGTAATGATGTATGGTTTCTCAATGTTGGGAATGTTATTTCTTGATCTCGTCCGTCGGAGACGTTATTATAATTGTCGAACATTACCATCTATATTAGCATTACGGCATTACCATCTATATTAGAGTTTGGTGATTAACAATCATTACGGATTTTACTACGACGAACTTGACAAGAGACCAGAGACAATCTTAGGTATTGATGGAACCGTTTCACTAATGCAAACTATTCCAATAATCATTTTACAACAAACAGTAGGGTTAAAGACTTGGGGAAATCATACATCATTACACATTCCCAACCGAAAATACATAGCGGAAAGCAATCCCAATTACAACAACGGATGAACATCACCCCTATTCCCTTAAACACGTTTTTTCATAAAAAAAAAAAAAAAAAAAAAAAACAGACCATACATGAAAAAAGTCATTCTACTTGTCTATCTTTGAGACCAGATCTTGATGTTGGCGTGTCACTAAAGATTATTATACAAAGCTCTCAAACCCTCGAACCGGTCACACCGGCGCCGGTACCCTTGGGCATCTCGGCTCCAGCCCCGACGCCGTAGTCGGGGTCCCTATACCCCGGCCCGTACTTGCTGCTGAACATCCCGGCATGGAGCAACATCACGTACAGACCCTGAGTGACCCCGAGTATTATGACGAACGCCTCCAGCACCCGAAGCCTCCACCCTCGGTGACCTCCTATGTTGATCTGCTTGCACGCCAACCCGAACGCCAGCATCGTGACCGCCCACGCGAGGATCGCGGTGGAAGCAGCGGCGGCGAGGCTGTCGTTCCTCCACGTCCTGATGTGGTTCCCGCCCAAGAGCTTGGACACTATCCCGAGCACCGCGGCTAGTATCGAGAACGTCAGGAAGAACCCCGTCGCTCCGTTCCCACCGAAACCTGCAGTCACATGGTCAAGAAGAGGAGAAGAAAATTAAAGCTTTCTTCGATAAAAAAAAAAAAAAAACAGAGAGGAAAGGTAGGAACAGGGGAATGAAAACAGAGAGTGTGTGTGTGTGTTGTTTGCTTACTTGGATGGTAAGTCTGGCCGTTGATGTACCGATTCAAGCACCAACTAGCGAAACCCAACACGATTGCGTACATAACCAAGTTGAGAAACATCAATGGAGCTGCTATGTTCCGCCCAACCGTCGATTGCGCCATCTCTTCTTCCTTCCTTCCTTTTCCCCCCCTTCTCCTTTTCTGACTTTGATGACCGAAAAACAACGTGACAAAAGGGACCGATATATGCTTGCTAGCTGCTCTGGATAAACTTGGGCTTCTTTTAGATGGGATGAGTTGGTGATTCCAGACAAGGAGCTGGAGGAGGACATTATATAGAGAGACAGGTGCATAGCCATGGAAGCCTAGGGATGGGACACGTGGAAGCAAAGGAGGGAGTGCATGGTTGTGTTTTGTTTACAGGTGGTGGGACACGTGGCGAGTTCTTGGAGAAGGGCACTTTGTTGAAGAGGGTTTGATAATGGAATCTCGAAGTTCCATGGGTTTGTTGCTCGACACGGTGGCAATGGTGGTCCAACTTTTTTTTTTTTCCTTTTCAAGATACACTTGTATAGACGTAATTTTCAGGTTTGTCACAGATCTAGACACAACTTTTGAAATACACGAAATAGCCAGAATTTTGATAATTATTTGACAAATCTAGCCATTTTTGTTACAAACTTTCGAAATACACAGAATTTTCTCGATTTCTTCTCGGATATGTTTGAGAGGGAATGCAACGAATCGGGCTAATTGACAGCGATGAATCGAGCTTCACTGTAAACAAGAACAACTACATCTGCACCGATTTCGAGGAATTGGAGGGGAACATGCATTGCGAGCCACCACATCCTTCCTTCTCGACCCATCATTCTCTGTTTCCACCGGAGACACTGTCTCATCTTCTACCGCAGCCGTCGATGCCTTCTTCTTCGCGATCGTCATCATCTTCTTCCCAACAGCCTTCTTGCCCTCTTTCTCGTCGTTTTTCTATACTCTGACAAGAGTCCGAGGCCTTCTCCTTCAATCTAGCAATTGAGGATCTGAATAGACAATTTGGAAATAAGGCCTCATTCTCCAGTCATATTGTTAAGTGACATCGTTAAAGGGATGGACGGAAGTGGATATTTTTGTGTATTTCAAAAGCTGTGGTAATAACTGTCACAAACGTGAAAGTTGTGGCTATAACTGTCAGAAACATGAAAGTTGTGACTATAACTGTTACAAACATGGAAGTGGTGGCTATGGAAGTGTATTTTGCTTTTTCTTTGTTAATCCACGCGGATCGCCAACTCAACATTTCCGTCAGTCCAGTCATACTATTAAGTGACACCGTTAAGGGGATGAACGTAAGTGGCTATTTTGTGTATTTCGAAAGTTGCTGTCACAAACGTGAAAATTGTGGCTATGTATGTGTATTTTGCCTTTTTTTTACTTCTTCCACTGCCAAAGTGTTCTTTTTATCACCACCCATCCTTTATGTAGAGTGAGAACGGCAACATGAACTCATCTGTTATGACCAACGACAGATCCAGGACACATTAGAGCAATGGGTCGCATTTCATTAGAAAATTAGATACCTTAAAAGAATATAATGATTATAATTAGATTTTACAATGTCAATACACGACGGACTTTTAATTTATCGAATGCATCAATAATGGAATCTATATCTATACTAATAGTATACTCTATTTCAAATAAAATACTTGAACAATCAACGAGAAATTTATTGCTCATTTTGTTGTGCAAATCAGCACATATTTCATTGTTTAAAAGGTTCTCTCCGTAGTAGCTATTGAAACGGGCAGCATCAATACTAGACAAATCAATCGACTAATCAATTTAAATTGTGTGTCTATCTATTTATTCGCCAGCTTCTCTAGTGTATTTCTAAAAGAACAAATCTAATATTTTTTTAGGAGTTAATTGCATGGTTGGTCACTGAAATTATAAAAAAACGTTCAAGTTTGGTCACTCGAAATATTTAAATCCATTGGTGGTACTTAAATTTACTGAAACCGTTCACGTTTCGTCACTCTCCGTCCAACTCCGTTAACTTTGGCTGATGTGGCAGTCAACTCTCAAAGTTGACCGTTAACTTAGTGACTTGGCAACTAAAAAATTATATTTTCCACCTCATTATTGCATTCATTAAAAAAATAAAACACCTAGTTTCTTTTTTACAACCCCCAATACCCTACCCGACCCAACCTCCACCGCCGCCGCAAAATCCGACCACGGTAGCAACACTCCCACCACCACCACCACCACCACCCGACTCCAACTCCTGCCCCATCCCCGTCCCCAGCGCCGGCTTCAATCGTCCAACACCCAGAAGAAGGTTGAACCGGATAAAGAAACTGTTGTTATCCCCAAAGCTTGCGTTGACGAAGGTAACGGTGAAGCCGTGGGAGGCGAGCTTGACAGCGAGGTGGACGGAGGGGATGACATGTTCTTGGAGAGGGTAGGGGATGAAGATAGCGTGAGGCTTCCGGTGGTGGCGGCGGCCGTCATTTGTCTCCGCCATCTTCTCTCTTTTATTTAATTTTTTTGGTTTCTGGTATTGGACGTATTAATTGGAGGGAAGGGGAGCATATATATAGAAGTGGAAAGTGGGCTCGCTAGGTTTTACAAGCGATTGAAGCCGGCATCGCCGGGGATGGGGCAGGAGTCGGAGTCGGGTGGTGGTGAGGAGTGTTGCCACGATGGTCAGATTCCACGACGGCGGTGGAGGTTGGGTCGGGTAGGGTATGTAGGTTTGTAGAAAAGAGATTTTATTATTTTTTTAATGAATGTAATAATGAGGTGGAAAATATAAAAGTTTATTTTTTTATTTTCAATAATTTTTAGTTGCCACGTGTTAACGGTAAACTTTGAGAGTTGACTGCCACGTCAGCCAAAGTTAACGGAGTTGGACGGGAAGTGACCAAACGCGAACAGTTTCAGTAAACTGAAGTACCACCAATGAATTTAAATATTTCTAGTGACCAAACTTGAACGTTTTTTGTAATCTTAGTGACCAACCATGCAATTAACCCTTTTTTTTAGTCTTTTACGCTTTAGAATTTTACATTTCATTATTTTTTAGACGAAAAAATTTATGGGCTAGAATTTTTAGACTAAATTTAGAGTTATGAGTTGATTATGTTCATTTTAATCTTTTTAGTTATACACAATCTTATTACAAAATAATATTGGACCGAATGCTAAAAATCGAAAAATTTGTAACAACTATGCTAACTTTGAATCTAAAGGATCGTTGGGCATTATGACGATGACGAGGACCTGGATTGTTCCCACGTCTTTCTGGACGCCAATGCAAGCAGATATGAACAATTATATGATTGGTGGAAGAAAAAAAAACTTTGGTTTACATACTTTCATCGATCATCTAGCTTATTTATTTGGTACGAGCTTCTATCACAACCACAAACTACAATAGTGATTGTTCATTTTAATTGGGTTGGTCCGAGCATAAATATAAGTTATTTACTTATTTTCAATGTAAATAAATATATTTTATGATATTTTGGAGGGAATTTAATTAAAATCGAGGCTATATCATTCTCTTTTCCCTTTTACAACTACTTAATTGGTTTGGTTAAATTAGGTCATCACCATATTATTTGATGGTTAGTGGTTAATCACTAAGTAAAATATTCACATAGAAAATCGATATGATAAGTGTTATAAGTGAACTGTTTGTTAGGGTTAGTTTGATGGTTAGCCATTAATCAATAACAACCTTTCCCTTGTGACATGCATATCAATCTCGATATGCTTAGTCCTTTCGTGGAACATAGGGTTTTCTGCAATGTGAATTGCAGACCTGTTGTCACAATACACAGCAACATGCAGAGGTATCTTAACGTCCATTTCTCCCAACAGAACTTTTAGCCAATCAATCTCACAAACCGGCAATGCCAATGCCCTATATTCAGCTTCAGATGATTATCTGGACACACTTGTTTGTTTCTTTGTCTTCCAGGTAAGGAGAGAGCTTCCTAGGAAAGTACAATAGCCTGTGGTCGATTTTCTTATGTCAGGGCAGCTGGCCCAATCAGAGTCACAAAATCCCACCAACTTTAGTTCTGCCTTACTAGTGTAATGAATACCTTGATCTGGACATGACTTAAGATATCTCAATACTCTATAAGCTGCTTGGAGATGATCTGAATAGGGCTTCTTTTGAAATTGACATAATTGCTGGACTGAATAGGTCAAATCAGGTTTGGTTATGGTGATGTAATGGAGCCTTCCAACCAACCTTCTATATTGTTCTGGATCTTCAAGCAGTGTTCCCTGTGTTGCTT